CTTGGTTTGAACAGCCAGGTTCTGATAAGGGAGGCAGGAGCCCCCCTGAAATGGGAAATGGAAACCCCTCCCTCGGAATTGTTGTGATTTTAAAATTAAGGCAGAAACTCCTCCAAGAACTGCATTTCCCACCGATAAAAATGAAACCTGGAAGGGACAATCATTAATAAAAATCCAGTTCTGACTTTATTAGGGGGAAAAAAAACAAAAAAGAAGAAAGAAATAACCCCCTCATGCTGTGATCCATCTTAGGGCTGTATTTCCAAAGGGGCTTTAAAGCAGGATTTGCCCTTGGCTCATCCTGCGGGATGAGCAGCCAGCACGAGCTCCACGTGGGCAGCCCGGGGATGTCACTGCTGTCACTCGTGCTGCCGGGGAGGGAGGCAGGCAGGCAGGCAGGGAGGGAAGGCTCTGCTGCTCCTGCTTTCTCCACAGCCCCAGCTGCAAATTTAGCAACAGCGCCTGAGCTCCTCTTTGTGCTCTCCCACGTCCTGCCCCGCTCCAGCTCCTGCCTGCGTGGAGCTCTTCAAGAGCTCTGCTTAGCAACCTGGCAGCCCTGGCTGCAGCACCAGGCAGCCGCTCCTGCCATTCCCTGCTGCCATCCCCTGCTGCCATTCCCTGCTGCCATCCCCTCCTGCCATCCCCTCCTGCCATCCTGCTCCTGCCATCCTGCTCCTGCCATCCTGCTCCTGCCATCCCCTCCTGCCATCCTGCTCCTGCCATCCCCTCCTGCCATTCCCTGCTGCCATCCCCTCATGCCATTCCCTGCTGCCATCCCCTCCTGCCATCCCCTCCTGCCATCCTGCTCCTGCCATCCTGCTCCTGCCATCCCCTCCTGCCATTCCCTCCTGCCATTCCCTCCTGCCATCCCAACTCCTGCCATCCTGCTCCTGCCATCCCAACTCCTGCCATCCCAACTCCTGCCATCCTGCTCCTGCCATCCCAACTCCTGCCATCCCAACTCCTGCCATTCTGCTCCTGCCATCCTGCTCCTGCCATTCCCTCCTGCCATCCCTTCCTGCCATCCCCTTCCTGCCATTCCCACCCTGCCATTTCCACTCCTGCCATTCCAACTCCTTCCCATTCCTGCTCTTCCCATCCCCACTCCTTCCCACTCCTCCCATTCCCACTCCTTCCCATTGCCACTCTTCTCATCCCCACTCCTCCCAATCCCACTCCCTCCCATTCTCACTCCTGCCATTCCCCCTCCTCCAGCAGGGAATCCGTGGCCAGCACAGGGCCCTGCTCCCTCTCAGCCCCCGCCAAGGGTCAGGTGGTCCCCCAGTGACACTCCTGTCCCCTCCCGTGACCCCCAGTGACACTCCTGTCCCCTCCCGTGACCTCCAGTGACTCTCCTGTCCCCTCCCGTGACCCCCAGTGACTCTCCTGTCCCCTCCCGTGACCCCCAGTGACACTCCTGTCCCCTCCCGTGACCTCCAGTGACTCTCCTGTCCCCTCCCGTGACCCCCAGTGACTCTCCTGTCCCCTCCCGTGACCCCCAGTGACACTCCTGTCCCCTCCTGTGACCCCCAGTGACTCTCCTGTCCCCTCCCGTGACCCCCAGTGACACTCCTGTCCCCTCCCGTGACCCCCAGTGACCCTCCTGTCCCCTCCCGTGACCCCCAGTGACTCTCCTGTCCCCTCCCGTGACCCCCAGTGACTCTCCTGTCCCCTCCCGTGCCCCCCAGAGCTGCGGGCAGGTGGGAGCAGCCTCGTCCCTGCTGCTGCCGCAGTCCCAGCTTCCAGCAGGAATATTTCTATGCAGCTCCACCTCACTGGGGCAAAGCAGAGGGAATTCCCTACCCCCAGCAAAGCTTTGGAGCCACCCAGAGCCCCCAGAGGGAAGCAGGTGAGACTCCAGCGGGCATTGCACAGGAGATACGGACCTAGGGTGGTTTATTTTATAAAAATATCTCCTCTCCCTTTGTGGCTGGCTGAAAGGGATGGCAAAACAAACCAGGGCAGCTCCAAGTGCCGGCTCCCAGCGCTCCCACCCTGTCCTCCACAGCAGAGCCACCCCAGGAGCAGCGTGGCCCCTCTGGAGAGCAGAGAAGGGCCTTGGATTGAGGATGGAGCCCTGTATTTGTATTTGCTGGGAATGCCTGGACAAAGGCAGGAATGATGAATCTGACTCCACGTTCTCAGAAGGCTAATTTATTATTTTATAATTCTATATTATATTAAAGAATACTATTCTATACTAAAAAATACAGAAAGGATACTTACTGAATGCTAAAAAGATAACAATGAAAACTCATGACTCTTTCCAGAGTCCGACACAGCTTGGCCTCAGTCGGCCAAAGAGTCAAATTAATTCACAGCAGAACCCAGTGAAACAATCACCTGTGTGTGAACCATCCCCAAACACATTCCACATGTGAGCACAACACAGGAGAAGCAAATGAGACAAGAATTGTTTTCTTTTTTGTCTGATGCTTCTCAGCTTCCCAGGAGAAAAATCCTGGGTGAGGGGATTATTTCAGAGAACGTGAATGCCACAGAACCCAAACCTCACTCTAAAACCTGGAAGCTCTGCCAGCTCCGCACTGCCTGCGGCGGGGAGCGAGGGGAGGCAGGACGGGGCAGGTCCAGGAGGAGCAGGGAGTGCTGGGAGAGCGTCTGGAGCCAGGCAGAGCAAAGGGGGCAGATAAAAGCACGAGACGGGCGTGAGCCAGGCTGGCACGGGGCCTGGGCACGGAGAGAAGTGAGCCAGGCTGGCACGGGGGCTGGGCACGGAGAGAAGTGAGCCAGGCTGGCACGGGGGCTGGGCACGGAGAGAAGTGAGCCAGGCTGGCACGGGGGCTGGGCACGGAGAGAAGTGAGCCAGGCTGGCACGGGGGCTGGGCACGGAGAGAAGTGAGCCAGGCTGGCACGGGGGCTGGGCACGGAGAGAAGTGAGCCAGGCTGGCACGGGGGCTGGGCACGGAGAGAAGTGAGCCAGGCTGGCACGGGGGCTGGGCACGGAGAGAAGTGAGCCAGGCTGGCACGGGGGCTGGGCACGGAGAGAAGTGAGCCAGGCTGGCACGGGGGCTGGGCACGGAGAGAAGTGAGCCAGGCTGGCACGGGGGCTGGGCACGGAGAGAAGTGAGCCAGGCTGGCACGGGGCCTGGGCATGGAGAGAACCGAGCCAGGCTAGCACGGGGCCTGGGCACGGAGAGAACTGAGCCAGGCTGGCACAGAGAGAACCGAGCCAGGCTGGCACAGGGACTGGGCACAGAGTGGCACAGGGGGCACAGAGTGACCTGAGCCAGGCTGGCATGGGGACCGGGCACAGAGCCCCACAGCAAAGGGGGCACGGAGCGAGCTCCGAGCCAGGCAAAGCCTTTGGAACAAAAGGCAGCCCAAAATAGGCTCAGGCAGAGCCAGCTGCTGGTCCTGCAGCATCACCCCAGCTGAGCTGTGCTCCTCCTGGCACCTGGCACAGCTGGCACACCTGGCACAGATGGCACACGTGGTCACACCTCTCCAACCTCTGCTCTCCAAATCTCTCCAACCTCTGAGGTCCCAACCTGCCCTCCACAGGGCATCGAGAAGAGCTGAGCTGATTTCCCTGCCGTGTTTTGGGCACTCGGCTCCCCTCCCCAGAGCAGCTCAAGGGCAGCACGTGGCGCTGTGCCCTGCCAGGGCATCAGGGCATCAGCAGGAGGGCACGAGCCCAGCCCGGCTCAGAGCCTGCAGGCACGAAAAACCAGCCTGAGACAGGCTGGCACAGGCACGTGGAAAGGGCACCCGGCCCTGCTGCAGCTCCTGACGCTGAGCCGTGTTTGTACAAGCGCCTCCTTCCCTCCCAGATGTTTGCAGAAGCTCGGGGAGCTGGCACGGCAGCGAGGAGCTGGACTTTAATTAACCCCAAGGCAAACAGGAGGAGGACGTCAGCAGCCTGGAGCTGCTCTGCAGCCCTGGCAGGAGCTCCCAGCTCCTCCAGGCTCCTCACACGTCCGTGTGTCCCCTTGGAAATGTCCTTCTGGGGTGGAAAGGGCTTGGCTGGTGCTGCTTGTTGTTCTCCTGGTGGCTTTGAGGCTCCACAAAATCCATCTGCTGTCCTACTCGTGTTGTCAAGCACCCAGAGGACACCACGGTGGCCAGGGCCAGCCAGGTGGGAAAAAACCAGCGCAAAAAAAGAGCAGATTTAGGGACCAAACAACCAAGCTGGAAAGTGTCAATATCTGCTGCAGCCCCCGCAGCTGCTGCACAGCACAGACCTCCATCCCTCCATCCATCCCTCCATCCATCATCCATCCATTGGATCCCATCCCATCATCCATCCATCCATCCATCCATCCATCCATCCATCCATCCATCCATCCATCCATCCCTGTTCCATCAGGGATGGAAGGACAGCACACAGCAATGGTTCCCACTGCCAGAGCACGGATAGATGGGATTTGGGAAGGGATTCCTGGCTGTGAGGATGATGAGGGGCTGGGATGGAGAATCCCTGGCTACTCCTGGATCCCTGGAAGTGTCCAAGGAGCACCCTGGCATAGTGGGAGGTGTCCCTACCCATGGGATGAGCTCTAAGGTCCCTCCCAACCCAAACCATTTTGGGATTCTGGGATTTTAAAACACCTAATTCCTGTTTTACCCCAACGTTCCTACACACACCCCAAATCCATGCCAATTTCCATCACATGTATTTCAAAGAGCAGGGCCAGAAACAACTTGGGAACATCATCACCTTGAAAAGAGGCACAGCAAAGTCTCCTGTCTGCTCAGGAGTCGTCTCCTCCTCCTCAGCAGCGGGTTCTGCTCTGTCTGCCTGGCCCAGGCTGGCAGGGAGGAGCAGCAGGAATTAACTCCTGCTCTGTCTTCAAACTCTGATTTTCTCCCCGCCTCAAGCGAAATTCTGCTGCTGAACCACTGCGAGCAGCAGAAACTCCTCCAAGAACTGCATTTCCCACCAATAAAAATGAAACCTGGGAGGGACAATCAGCAGGGATCCCCTGGAGGGAGGATTGGTCGTGGGAGAGATGAAGAAGGAGACAAGTGCCCACCTGGGGACGCCTGGCACTAGGACGCGCTGGCCCCCGGGCTGCCGGGCTGCCCCCCGTGGATCCTCAGGTGCTTGGCCAGGTGGTCACTGCGGGCAAACCTCTTCTGGCAGGCGGGGCACGGGTAGGGCTTGAGGCCGGAGTGGGAGCGCTTGTGGCGGGAGAGCTCGTCCGAGCGGGAGAACCTGCGGAGGGGAACGCAGCGCTGAGATCGGCTCTCTGCAAGTGTTAACAGGAGTGCTGTGTGGGAAAGCTGTGTTAATTTGTAGGGCTGTGTAAATGCTTTTTAGTTTTTAAAATATGTGTTTATTGAGTTTTATTTCTACAATTTTTTAATTTTGTGGTAAATATAGTTTTAGGCTGTAACATAATATTAAAGTAGAAACTATGCGATGTAAGGTACTAATTAAAACATATAAAATACTGGTTTTATTTCTTGATTCACAGTAGAATCGTGAATTTAAAAAATCACAATAATCACAACTCACCAACTCTTCCAAGGGTTGATAAAAATAAAACATATAAGATAATAAATAAAATATGTACTATTTTATTTATTTATATTTTATTTTTTTATATGTATATATAAAATATACATATAAAATAATAATAAAACTGGATTTATTTTTTGATTCACAGTAGAATTGTGATTAAAAAAATCACAATAGTCACAATTCATCAACCCTTCTAAGGGTTTATAAGAATAAACATATAAAGTACTGTTTTATTTTTTGATTCACAATAGAATTGTGATTAACAAATGAGGCTCAGCGACCCTGGCACAGAGATCTGTCCCTGGCACAGCCTCGTGGGTGCCCCCAGGGCGGGCAGAGGCACCCCCGGCTCCCGAGATCACTTCCAAGGATTTGGAAACGGAAAAGAATTCACCCACTGAGATGTGAATTCCTTTCCCTCTCTCTCAAAGGACGCTGTCCCCCACTTCCTCCGTTTGTTTTCCCTTGCTGGAAGCTTCCGGCAGCGCGGATTTAAAATCATTTTTTTGGAAAAGAGCTCAGGAGTGATGGGTTTTCTCTTCTAGCCAGGTCTCGTGAGCTCTCAGAGAACCCATCACACCTGAGACAGCCCAGCTACCTTAATGGCATAAAAGCAGCAGGATGGCTTCTGAGGTAGTGTTAGAAAACTTGATAAAAGGCAAAATTAAAAAGCTCTTTACAGAGAAAACTTGAGCTAGGAGCAAGGGGGAGTTTTTACTCCTTGGTGTTTTACTGCTGGTAAAAACACCCCCCAAAAGCGATTACTTCCCTTGTTCTCTTCTTTTTCTAGTGAATTACTTAGGGGAGACCTTTCAGCTTAAGGTCCGTGACCACCTGAGGAACCCGATTGTACAAAGTTCATTGAATCCTAGAAAGGTTTGGCTTGGAAGGGACCTTAAAGATCATGGAATTCCAGGCCATGGGCAGGGATGCCATCCTCTGGATCAGGCTGCACAGGCCCCATCCAGCCTGGGATGAGACATTGCACTCACCACCTCCGGGTAAACTTCTTTCTAACATCTGATCTAAACTCTCCTGCTTTCACTTCAAACCATTGCCCCTTGTCCTGTTGCTCTCTGCCCATGTGAAATTTCTCCTTTTTATGAGCCCATTTAAGGTACTGGAAGGCTGGATACTGGAAAATACTAATTTAGGATACCTACTAATTAGGGATCTTAATGTTGAAGGTGAAGTCCTTAAGCTCTTATAAAGTGTCTTTTTACTAAATTGAGGAAAAAGGACCTTAAAAATCATGGAGTTCCAGGCCACAGGCAGGGATGCCATTCTCTAGATCAGGTCCCATCCAGCCCAGCCTTGAGCAGTGCCTGGGATGAGACATCTGCATCCACCACCTTCTGAGTGAATTTATTTCTAACATCTGATCTAAACTCGCCTGCTTTCATTTCAAACCACTGCCCCTTGTCCTGTTGCTCTCTCCCATATGAAATTCCCATCCAGCCTGGGATGAGACATTGCACTCACCACCTCCGGGTAAACTTCTTTCTAACATCTGATCTAAACTCTCCTGCTTTCACTTCAAACCACTGCCCCTTGTCCTGTTGCTCTCTCCCATATGAAATTTCTCCTTTTTATGAGCCCATTTAAGGTGCTGGAAGGCTGGACACTGGAAAATACTAATTTAAGATACCTACTAATTAGGGATCTTAACGTTGAAGTCCCTAAGCTCTTATAAAATGTCTTTTTACTAAATTGAGGAAAAAGGACCTTAAAAATCATGGAGTTCCAGGCCACAGGCAGGGATGCCATTCTCTAGATCAGGTCCCATCCAGCCCAGCCTTGAGCAGTGCCTGGGATGAGACATCTGCATTCACCACCTTCTGAGTGAATTTATTTCTAACAGCTGATCTAAACTCGCCTGCTTTCATTTCAAACCATTGCCCCTTGTCCTGTTGCTCTCTGCCCATGTGAAATTTCTCCTTTTTATGAGCCCATTTAAGGTGCTGGAAGGCTGGACACTGGAAAACACTTACTAATTTAGGATACCTACTAATTAAGTATCTTGAAGGTGAAATCCCTAAGCTCTTATACAGTGTCTTTTTACTAAATTGAGGAAAAAGCCTTCTAAGCTTGTTTTCCTTTTTAAAGAAACAAAAGATCATTTAGTCACTCCTCAACAGAAAGCACACTCCCACCCAGGCTGGGAACGCTTTCCTGGAGCTCCACATGCAGCCCGGAGCAGCAGCAGCGGGAGGGAAGCTTCGTTCTCCCCGGGGCTGGGGATGCTCCCTGCGCATCCAGAGCTCGCCACTCACCTCCAGCCGCAGTTGGGCCAGGCACAGCTGTAGGGTTTCTCCCCCGTGTGCCGTCGGAAATGAGCCTTCAGGTGGGAGCTCTTGGAATAAACCTTCCCGCAGCCCGGGTGGGAGCAGCGGTGCGCGCGGAGCGGGGCAGGGGGGCCCTGCTGGCCCCCCCCGGGGGCCGCCTCTGCCCCCTGCACGTCCCCCGGCCCCGGGGCCACCGGCAGAGGGGCAATTCTGACGTATTTTTGGTCCAGGGTGGTGCCAGGGGGCTGGAGCTGAGGGAGGACGGGCAGGTTTGGGCTCTGCAGGCTGATCAGCAGCTGGGCCACCCTGACACCCCCAGGCTGTGCTGGGGGGGTGACGCTGTCCATGGGGAGAGGCTGGAGCTGCAGGACAACGGGGATGCTGCCAGCAGCCAGCACCTGGTCACCAGGACCCACCACATGGTCACCAGGAGCCACTGCCTGGTCACCAGGAGCCACCACATGGTCACCAGCAGCCAGCACCTGGTCACCAGCAGCCAGCCCCTGGTCACCAGCAGCCACGACCTGGTCACCAGCAGCCAGCACCTGGTCATCAGCAGCCAGCCCCTGGTCACCAGCAGCCAGACCCTGGTCATCAGCAGCCAGCCCCTGGTCACCAGCAGCTGTCCCCACAGCCTCTGGGACGTGTCCTGCTCCTCCCTCGTGTGCCCTGGGGATGGGCTGTGCCCCAGAGCCGAGCTCAGCTTTGCTCTCCACCTTCCACCCCGTGGGGTGAGGATCTCCTGCCTCATCCCTGGGGAGCTCTGCCTTCTCCCTGAGGAACTCCTCGATCTCCTCCAGCGTGGGGATGAAGTCCTGCGAGAGGCAGAAGTCGGGCAGCCTGAGCTGAGCCTCGGTGAGCTGGGCTTTGGGGGGCTCCTCCTTGGCACTGGGCAGCGGGACAGGCTCGGCGTGGCCGGTGCCACCCACCGGGACGTGCCCAGAGCCCTCCGGGTGGCCACACGTCCTGTCACCGCCGAGTCCTGGCAGAAGGGACGGTGGCATCCTGCACTGCAGGGCACTGGCCAGGCTCTCGAGCAGGGAAGGGCCGGGCAGGGAGGGCAGCAGGTCCTGGCAGCTCACAGAGACCATTTGGTGCCTCCCCACGCGCAGCTCTTGGCTCAGGAGCCGCTGGGAGAGCTCAGCTGGGGAAGTCTTCGTTCATCTGCAAGGGAACGGCAGCGAGGTTATTTCCAAAGGAGAAAACAAACACGCAAACCTCAACCTTTTAACAAAACTGGGCCGTGCACCGAAAAGAAAACAGCAGAACCTGGCAGCCGCCTTTGTTTTTAAAGAGTCTGCTGCTGAAAAAACACGGGCTGACCGTTTTCCTCCGCTGGCTGCCAGCGAAGAGGCAGAGTCCCCCCAGGAGCAAACTTCTCTGGGGAGTTTATGGAGGTGAAAACGCACAAAGAAACCCTTCATCCCTCCCTGTGCCACCCACACCCGAGGGCAGCTCTGCGCAGGGGATGGCTCCTGATGAGCCAGGAGTTCACTGTGATCCTGGAGAGGCTCCTGGGGCTTCTGCACGCTGCAGACGTGGGCAGGAGCACGCCCTGGCACAGACAGGGCTGGGTTAGGGCTGCCTACCTGCACAGGTAACACCGAGCCAGCCCCGGGCGCTGGGGATGCTCAGCCGCGCCGGGGGCACCGCGGTGCCCGGACACGCCGCAGCTCTGCCCGGGCAGGTCTGCCCAGCCTCGGGCACGTGGGAGAGCGGCCCAGCCCGGCTGGAGCAAAGCAGGGCCCAAACAAAGGGAATTCTTTGATTCTCGCTCCAGAGTCAGAATTACTAATTAAAGCCACACTGGAGGTGTCCCCAGACTCCTCCTGATGGTGCCCTTGGCCTGTCTGCTGCACTCACAACTTTCCTTTCCTTTCCTTTCCTTTCCTTTCCTTTCCTTTCCTTTCCTTTCCTTTCCTTTCCTTTCCTTTCCTTTCCTTTCCTTTCCTTTCCTTTCCTTTCCTTTCCTTTCCTTTCCTTTCCTTTCCTTTCCTTTCCTTTCCTTTCCTTTCCTTTCCTTTCCTTTCCTTTCCTTTCCTTTCCTTTCCTTTCCTTTCCTTTCCTTTCCTTTCCTTTCCTTTCCTTTCCTTTCCTTTCCTTTCCTTTCCTTTCCTTTCCTTTCCTTTCCTTTCCGTCACCTCCACACAAACCCCGCATTTGCAAACAGCTGAGACAGAGCTCAGCGTGTCCAGGTGGGAGCTGTGTGCTCCGGAGGTCTCTGGTGACTGTCACAGACCCTCCAGGTCCTGCTGGGGCTCGGCCTGGGAGGGAGGTGCCCAAGGCCCCCAGAGCAGCCACTGTTCCTGTCCCTGTCCTGCTCTGGAGCACCAAACCACCCAGGGCACAGGGACCTGTTTGCATCTAATGCAGAATTGGAGTTTCCAGGGGGAAAAAAAACCAAAACCTTTGTCCAAATCCCTCCAGAACTTTTTCCATGAGATTTCTGTGGAGCTGCAAACCAGTCGGGCCAGTCCTTGTTATCAGCGCTCCTCAGGGTCCTGAGAGCTGCGAGAGGGAATTTTGGAGCACTCTGGATGCCAAATAAATGCTCTTCTCCTTAGGAAAGAACCCCTACGTGGTGCCAAACCTGCCAGGAACAAGAAGCAGGGGCACTCCCAGTGCTGCCCAGGGACTGTCATTGTCACTGCTCACACAAGAGGGGAGGAGGTGTTCAGGCCAATCTCAGCCTCCAGGCTTCACATTTTCCACCACGTGGAGTCCAAATCTGTGCTCTGAACAACCTCTTCCAGGCAGCTCCACTCCAGTTTCAGGATCTTTTGTCTTTTCTTCTCCATCTCCTCTTTCTGCGGGGAAAGCCTCCCGCCTCTGGCTACCAAAGGCTCCTGTTTACCTCTCCCAGAGTGTCCCAAAACCTGATTTTCCAAGCAGCTCCTGCAGAGCAGTTCAGGAATGTCCATCCTTCCAGCATGCCCCCAGGACAGCTGAATTCAGCTCTGAACTCATGGAGCACAACCCTCCAGCTGAGCTGATAGCAGGAATAAATGCATGACCGGGGGGCAGGAAGGTGCAGAGGTCGAGCTGCTGGCTCAGGAGGTCTGAGCAGGGCAGCCCCGGGCAGGCTCTTGGAGCGCTCTGCTCCTCGGTTTCCCGTCTCATTTGGGGCACTGGTGATGCCCCAGCTGGCAGAGCGCTGCTGTGGGGCAAGGTGGCACATTCCGTGCCAACAGGCAGCTGTCACAGGTGTCACCGCCCTGTCAATCCGCTTTGCAAAGTGCCACCGGCGCTGTCACCCAACCCCAACGGCACCGCAAGGAAAGGAGCCCTGGCTCTGTCCCTCGCGGTAAGGGCAGCGCCGTTCCCGAGCCTCCCTTTGCATTTGTATTCCTGCAGTTTTTGCAAGCCCAGAGCCCCAGGAGAGCAGCCCATGTGCAGCCCGGGCACATGGAGAGCAGCGCTTGCCCAAGGTCAGCCAACAAGCAGCGGGAGCTGGGAACGCAGCCGAGGGTCACGGCCCCCCTCCCGTGACCGAGCAGCGAGAACAAACACCTGTAACCTCCGGGAACCACCCGGGCCGTGCAGAACCGAGCCTCTGGGGACAAACCCCCGGTCCCAGCCGCTGCCACGCGTGGCCGATCCCTCGGTGTAAATCCCAAGGACAAGAGAGGCTCCGGCTCCACCGCAGCCCCCAGCCCGGCGGGGCTCGGAGCCGGGGCGAGCTGGGCACACCGAGCCCGGTGCTGCCGGTCACACCCCCCTGCCCTGCCCTGCCCCGGTGTCCCGGGAGCGCCGGCAGCGGCACCCCCGCGCCCCCCGCGCCCTTACCCCGCTCCGCCGCCCGCGGCTCCCGCGGCTCCGCCGGGGGCGGCTCCCGGCCCGCCCCGCCCCGCCGAGGGCTCGGCCGCGGCCGCCGAGCCCATTGGCACGGGAAAGCCAGCCGGGAGAGGCACCGGGATGGCCCATTGGCACGGGAAAGCCAGCCGGGAGAGGCACCGGGATGGCCCATTGGCACGGGAAAGCCAGCCGGGAGAGGCACCGGGATGTCCTGGCACGGGAAAGCCAGCCGGGAGAGGCACCGGGATGGCCCATTGGCACGGGAAAGCCAGCCGGGAGAGGCACCGGGATGGCCCATTGGCACGGGATGGCCCTGCAGGGACACCGGGATGGCCCATTGGCACGGGAAAGCCAGCCGGGAGGGACACCGGGATGGCCCGGCACGGGAAAGCCAGCCGGGAGGGACACCGGGATGGCCCGGCAGGGACACCGGGATGGCCCGGCGCGGTCCCCGCTGGAACCGCTCCCGGAGGAGATCCCGCGACCCCGCCGCTGGTTCCACGCACTGCTGGGAAGCGCTACGGGAAAAGGAGGAGAGTCCTGCAGGGAGCGGGGGCCGCGGGAATCCGGGGGGGTTTGGATCCGGGGGGATCCAGGTGTGCGGCAGGATTTAAATCCAGGTGGATGCAGGGCGGGGATTTTAAATCCAGGGGGATCCCGGTGTGCGGGGGAGTTTGAACCCACGTGGATCCAGGTGTGGGAGGTTTTGAACCCAGCTGGATCCAGGTTTGATCCCCCAGCAGGGGGTTTTGGGCAGGGCTGTAGCCCTCGGATGCTGCTGGTGGGACAAGGAGTGAGGTGTGTCCTTGTCGTGGCTTTGGGGTCCCTGAGGATGGCTTTGGGCTGAGCCCCACCAAGCCTCACCGAGTTCTTCTGGTCCGGGAGAAACTTCGTGAGATTTTGGGTCTGAACGAAACACCTGGGTCAGGGGAAGGCTTCAAATGTATAAACACCAAAACAAAATGAAAAAAAGCCTGCAGGCGCACAGAAAGGGTGACCCCTGGCTGTTCCCCGGGTGCTGCTGTGTCACTGTGTGTCACTGACCCCCTGCCACAGCCTCGCAGCGCTTAACATTACCGCTGATAACACATCAGATAAGGATTGGTAATAATTAATAACACTCATTTATGGCCGTGCAGGGGGAGGGAAGGTCTCAGCTCCTCAGAATCCTCACAGGTACTCCCGGCTGCCGTGGTTCAATCACGGAGGCTTTGATTGACAGCGTGTCACCAAATCCCCGGGGACAGCAGCCGGGAGCGGCTCCTGCTCGGGATTTGTCCCGCACCTGGCGGGGCGAGCGGGATCGGAGCTTTTTGGGGAAAAAGGAGCGGCTGTGCGGCTCCACAGTGACACCGCGGGGACACCGGTGCCACTCGGAGCCGGGACATCACTGGAGCCCTCCTGGCCACGCCCATTATGCCGATTTCCCCGCCCATAAAACACTAACCCCGCCCATGTCCCCACCCTGCCATCTACCCCACCCTCATTCCGCCCCTTTGTCCCTGGCCACGCCCCAATCCCACTCATTGACTCTTCCCCACGTAAAGCCCCGCCCTCTTCCCCATGCCCCACCCATTCACTGGCCCCGCCCTCTGACCGCACTCCCGCCTGTCCCCATCCCAAAAGTGACAGCCAGGCCACGCCCAGGCTCTCAGCCCCTCCCCTCATTCATTGGCCACACCCCAGCCACATCCATCATTCATTGGCCACATCCCAAACTCCACCCCTCAACAATTGGCCACGCCCCCACCATGTCAGTCATTCTCTGGCCACACCCCTGCACCATCACTCATTCATTTGCCACGCCCACCACAGCGCGTCATTCATTGGTCACACCCATGCGCTGTCCGTAATTCTTTGGCCACGCCCACACATTGTCAGTCATTCCTTGGCCACGCCCCCTCCCCACGCGGTGGTGGCGCCCCCCCGCGGCCAGCTCAGGCGTTTTTCCCTTTTTCCACCTTTTATTTTTTCCCCCCCTTTTTCCATAAAAATTTATAATAAAAGCCTTCCTCTGGTGCCGTATACAAAATATTCACTCTAGCGAATAAATAAACCACGAACGTCTCGCGGGCAGGATGTGACCTCAAAAAGGAAAACCAGCATCCATCCATCCCCCCAGTCCTTCCCCACCCTCGGGAATTTACACAATTTATCCCTCCTCCACGTTCCAAACTCCACCAAGGAAAGGTGAGGCACGATTCACCTGTGAGGAAGAGAAAAGCTCCTGCTCGCCGGCTCTGAGGAGCTCGTACCCAAACCTGTAGCCAGACAGGAGCAAATCCTACAGAAATTCTGTGGTCACACAGGGAATATCAGGAACAGCAGGGAAGAGATGCTCCTACCCAGACCTGGTCTTACATGTGATCCTGACCAGAAATTTTCTTAGAAGAAGCAAAAAAAAGCCATTTTTGCGAAGATTTCCTCATCCTCCTGCTCCCTTGCCCTGATCTCCTGCTATAAGCCCCGGCTCTGCCCCTCTCTGAGTCTCTGTTTTGCACCTGGGGGTTTGAAATGATGGATCTGAGCCCTTTTTCCTTATCCTCCTGCTCCCTTGCCCTGATCTCCTGCTATAAGCCCCAGCTCTGCCCCTCTCTGAGAAACCCCCTGTTTTTCACCTGGGGGTTTGAAATGAAGGATTCGAGCCCTTTCCCACCAAACCCCTTCACCTGAAATGAAGGATCTGAGCCCTTTCCCACCAAACCCCTTCACCTGAAATGAAGGATTTGAGCCCTTTCCCACCAAACCCCTTCACCTGAAGTGAAGGATTTGAGCCCTTTCCCACCAAACCCCTTCACCTGAAATGAAGGATTTGAGCCCTTTCCCACCAAACACCTTCACCTGAAATGAAGGATCTGAGCCCTTTCCCACCAAACCCCTTCACCTGAAGTGAAGGATCTGAGCCCTTTCCCACCAAACCCCTTCACCTGAAATGAAGGATTTGAGCCCTTTCCCACCAAACCCCTTCACCTGAAATGAAGGATTTGAGCCCTTTCCCACCAAATCCCTTCACCTGAAATGAAGGATCTGAGCCCTTTCCCACCAAACCCCTTCACCTGAAGCTCAGTGTGGAAGCACTTTAGGCACTTAAATTATCAAAAGCATTTGAGCATCAGAGCAGCCTCTGTGCAGGGAAAGTTCCTCACATTTACAGGAGAAATACTCAAAATAAAGGGCTTTTCAGTCATGGGTCAGGGGGGAATTTATTCCAGGACACCCCAGCTCTGGCAATAGGATTTTGTCCCAAATCCTTCCTGCTGCAGCCTGCAGCGGACAGAGCCCAGGGTAGGAAGTCCAGACCCCAAAACTGTTTCTGGAAGTGGTTAAGGCAGTGCCAAATCTGTCCCCAAAGCAGCTGCAAGTCAGCACTGTGGGAAAGGGAGGCTGGCAGCCTTTAATTTGAGAAGAACTCAGACAAAAACAGTGACCCCTGACGGGAAAGGGACGATCCCAAACCTTTGAGGGCCCGGCTCAGACAGCAGGGGAGTCACCCAGCCAAGGAACAGGCTGACAAAACTCTGCCAAAATAGCAACATTTCACCCTCCAGCCCAACCTCACAAGCGCCTCTGGCTGCCCACACACCTCCACAAAGGAAAAAAGAGTCCCAAAGAGCTCGTTTAGGCCAGGCAGGGCTGGGCACTGCTGAGTTTGGGGGCTCCCAGCACCAATCCAGCCTTTCTTCCTGACCTGGGATCGTTCCTGACTTGGGCCAGCTCCTCTTGGAGGGGCAGGAATCTGCCAGCAGCAGATTTGTCCCAGCTGGGCCACTGGGGACAGGGAGTGGCACTGACAGGGGGACTCGGAGCTGGGAGCCAGAACAAGCTGGGCAGCCCTGGGGGAATGGGACAGGAAAAAAAACCTGGAGATGGGTCAGGGAGAGATGGGAACCAGAACAGCCCTGGGGAGATGGGTCAGGAAAACAGCCCGGGCATCCCTGGAGAAATGGGACAGGAAAAGAACCTGAAGATGGGTCAGGAAATCAGCCTGGGCATCCCTGGAGGGATGGATCAGGAGAAGAACCTAGACATCCCTGGAGAGATGGGAGCCAGAACAACCCGGGCATCCCTGGAGGGATGGATCAGGAGAAGAACCTAGACATCCCTGGAGAGATGGGAGCCAGAACAACCCGGGCATCCCTGGAGGGATGGATCAGGAGAAGAACCTAGACATCCCTGGAGAGATGGGAGCCAGAACAACCCGGGCATCCCTGGAGGGATGGATCAGGAGAAGAACCTAGACATCCCTGGAGAGATGGGAGCCAGAACAACCCGGGCATCCCTGGAGGGATGGATCAGGAGAAGAACCTAGACATCCCTGGAGAGATGGGAGCCAGAACAACCCGGGCATCCCTGGAGGGATGGATCAGGAGAAGAACCTAGACATCCCTGGAGAGATGGGAGCCAGAACAACCCGGGCATCCCTGGAGGGATGGATCAGGAGAAGAACCTGGACATCCCTGGAGAGATGGGAGCCAGAACAACCTGGGCATCCCTGGAGGGATGGATCAGAAGAACCTGGGGATGGGTCTGGAGAACAAGCTGGGCATCCCTGCAGGGACCTTTGGGCCCTGGGTCAGGGCAGCAAGAGGTGCTTTGCATCACTCTGAAGGGCTTTGCTCTGCCTCTGTGAGATTACGGATTCCTGACTGGAAATAAAAGACATTTGAAGAACGCCCAAGCAGCCAGGGGCAGTGAGCAGCTCCAGGTCTGAGCTGAACTCGTCAGCAGCTCCCCCAGGCCTTCCAGGAGAGCTCCTCCTGCTCTGCTTCACTGGCACAAGGCTGAGAACCCCTCTGGGGACTGGTTTCCCTTGTGTGTGGCAGCACCTTTTAGGGGCCACGTGTGGAAGAAGCACAACAGCCTGGGTTGATGAGGGGAGAGAGCAAATGCAGGCACTGAGGTGAGGAGAGACTGAGAACTGTGTGAAGAAAGGTAAAAACAATCACTGAAAAAAAATAAAAATAAAAGAAGTTCTCTCTATCTGATGTAAGCTGGTACATAGGTAAAGGTTAAGTCACCTTTTGGAACTGGTCCTGATGGGACGTTCCTTGTTTTTCCCAAAACAAGGCACAGTAACTTTTCTCCTGGATGGTTTTGGGTGGAGGTGGGGAAGGCCAGGAGGGCACTGGGGGTACACCTGGGCACCCCCTCGGCACCACGGCCAAACCTCGGCTGCCCTGCTGCTGCTTCCCCCAGGAAATCTCCTGCCAGTGCCCCATTTGCTGAAACATTGCTCAAGAAGTGGGGTAAAACTACAACAAACGGGGAGAGGAAAAGGAAGAGAGGAGAGGAGAGGAGAGGAGAGGAGAGGAGAGGAGAGGAGAGGAGAGGAGAGGAGAGGAGAGGAGAGGAGAGGAGAGGAGGCAGTGCTTGAGCCCCTCCCTGTGCTGCTCCTGCTCAGGAACACGACCCGTTACCAGAGGGAAACCCCAAAAAATTCCCTTTTCCCCCTGCAGGACCCCTTTGGTGCTGCTGTGCCGTGCTTCCCTCTGCTAAAGGCACCTTTGGAGAGCACTTCAGGCCCTGAGGACAACACCCCAAAGCCTCTTATTTACACCTGAGATTAACCCCGTGCTGCCCCCAGCCCCAGAGCCATGCCCGGGGCGGCAGCACCAGCTCGGGGACAGCCAGTGCCACACGAGGCACCCCACGAGTGGCCCCGTGGGCACACACACACACACACACAGAGCTGGCTCTGCCACCCACGTGGCTGCCCCGCTGTCACACGGAGCACTTGGCCATGTCAGCCTTGTCAAAGACAACTTTGGTTGCGAAGTAGATGGCGACCAGCCCGAGGCCAGCGGCTGACACCATGTAGGCAGTGACAGACTGGGTGAACTGCACGATGGAGCCCATGAAGAGCGAGGGCACCACCTGAGAGAGGAGGAAGGCGCTGTCCAGGATGGCCAGGTCCAGGCAGATCCCCCGGCCAGGAGCCCCCAGCTCCGGCTCCCCCACCATGATCCGCAGGGAGACGTCGCAGGAGGAGCTGACACACAGAGCAGAGCTGGACACGGCTGGAGGGGAGGATGGGGAGGAGGAGGAGGGGGAGGAAGAGGAGGAGGAGGAGGAGAAGAGGCTCCCAGCGTGGCCATTCTGGTAAGACAGTTTCTGGCTGGAGAGCAGCCCTTTGGAGAAGGCTGATTTCTTGTCCAGCAGAGCGGAGTCTTCCTCCTCTTTCCTCTTGAATTTATGGAGAAATACCTGTGGGAAATACCAGGGAGGTGACTGAGGAAGGACTTGGGACTCTGGAGGTGAGTGAGGAAGGAGCTGGGACTGAAAGGTGGGTGAGGAAGGAGTTGGGACTGAAAGGTGGGTGAGGAAGGAGTTGGGAGTCTGAAAGTGAGTGAGGAAGGAGCTGGGAATCCAAGGGGACCTTGTTTTTGTGCAGGAGAGCAAAACCAGAGCTCTGTGTGTGTTCAGGGGAGTGCCAGCCTGAGCCTGGCCCACGTGAGATGGGCTCTGGAGCCAGGCTGGCTCTTCCCCACTGGCACGGGATGCCAAGCAGCCCTGACTCACAGGGGAAGCCAGCCAAGGCCTGGGCTGTGCTCAAGCTCTGGGGCTCAACAGCCCAAAGCCAGCCTGGGGACAATTCCTGCTTTTGTCACCTCCTCACTGGGTGCCAAAGGAACCTGCACTGAGCCCACCCTGAAATCACCTGGGGCAGGGCAGGAGTGGAGGGCCAGGCTCTGCTGGGAGATCGGGCACCCAGGGCAGGGCAAACAGGAATGTCTGGGGTTTGTGGGGTGGGTGACTGGGAACCCACACCCAGAGCCCAGCATGAGCAGCCACTTCTCATCTGGGATGTTAGAAGTGCCACCAGCTGGGACACAACAGTCCTGGGAACTCAGGGAAGGGATCTTTTCTCAGCTCTGCACCAGACCTCAACCAAGCTGCTTCATCTGCCTGCCCAGATCCTCCTCACTCCAGCCAGGAAAAAAGGGGGCAGAGGGAACCAAAATCTTTTCCTTCTCACCCATTTTTAGCTTGCTCTGCTCACGCTGTGAGGTCTCTGGAGTGTTCCCAGAGAGCATTTTCACACCAGCAGAGCAGGGGCAGGAGAGACCAAAGGCAGCTGTGCCTTCCCTGCCTTTCCCTGCCAAGCCTCTGGCAAAGCCTGGGGAATGTGGCCTTCCCCTTCCCAGCCTGTGGAGTTTGGGTTTCACTCCATTGATAAAACATCCATGGGAGATCCCAGCCAAGCTGCAGCTCCTGCCAAGCTGAACATTCCCTCACCCCCTCCATTCTGTCAGGACTCCTGGTGCCAATTGGGATGGGCTGTTCCGAAGGGTTTGTTCAATGGGAACATCTGGATGCCTGTGGTAACAACTCCCACTTACTCCACAGCACAGCCAACCACTGCCCTTGGGATGAAAGAGCTGCTCTCAAACCACAAATTAATTCTGCATTTGCAGCACAAGAGGAACTCCCATTAATCCTGTGTGCAACTCAGGAACCTCCTAGGACTTCTCCACAAGGATAACATCTGTGGGACAGGGTTAGGAGCTTTTGTGCTGGTGTCACAAGTTTCACAAGGTTTCTTTATCTTGGAGCTAAGGGAATAGGAAGAGCTTGGGCTTTCATTTTACTGATCCTGGTGCTGTGGATGAAAACTGGAAAGCAGGACCTGTGAGGGCTGAAAATCCTTGGGTTTTGTAGCCCCTCAGGCTGGCAGAGCTGCAGAATTCACACGGGGATAACTAAACCAGACCAATTTATGGTTGAGAGGTCCACTTTGAGAGGTCCACTTTGAGAGATGAGGTGAGAAACCTAAAACACAGGAAAAATAGAAAAATCTGCAGGGCCAGGCTGCCCTGGAGCAGATCCCCACCTGTTTGTCGTGGTGGTAGAGGGATGCCAGCGTGTAGGGCAGGATCTGGAGGGCAGAGAAGGTGAATCCAGTCAGGGCGGCGGAGATGGTGACCACGGTGACACTGTGGGACAGGCACATGACAAAGGCTGCCCCAGGGAAGAACACCACGCTGGCCAGGTACACTGCCCGTGTCCCAAAGTGCTTCACCAGCCGGTCCATGATTGTCGAGAAGAAGATGGAGGTGATGCACTGCAGGAAGAGGCCCAGGCTGCCCATGCGGACACCTGGGGGGAGAGGGGATGGCCACTGCCCTGGCTGCCCCGGATTCACACAGCCAGGCATCCTTCTCCTGGCTCCAAACCCCAAAGACATCCTTCCCTCTGTCCCAAACCCCAAAAACATCCTTCTCCCAGCCTCAAACCCCAAAAACATCCTTCTCTTAGTCCCAAACCCCAAAAACATCCTTCTCCCAGCCTCAAACCCCAAAAACATCCTTCTCTTAGTCCCAAACCCCAAAAACGTCTTTCTCTTGATTCCAAACCCCAAAAACATCCTTCTCTTGGTCCCAAGCCCCAAAAACATCCTTCCCTCTGTCCTAAATCCTTCTCTCAGTCCCAAATCCCAAAAACATCCTTTCCTCTCCATCACTCTTTAACCCCAAAATCATCCTTCCCTGTCAGTCCCAAACTCCAGAAACATCCTTCCCTTGGTCCCAAATCTCAAAACATCCTTCCCTCTCCATCAGTCCCAAACCCCTAAACGTCCTTCCTTATCAGTCCCAAACCCCAAAACATCCCTCCCTGTCAGTCCCAAGCCCCAAACATCCCTCCCTCTCCATCAGTCCCAGACCCCAAACCCAAACTGCCTCTGCCTCAGCCCCGAACTCCCAAGCAGAGAGCGAGGCCCAGGGAGCCCAGGCAGGCTGGGCTGGCTCGGGGAGCAGAGCAGCATCACCCCCAGACCCCAGGATTGCAGCAGCCACCCCCCAGAGCCCCTCCCTGCCTCGTGGGCACCCCAGCCCAGCCGTGGGAGCCCAAATGCCACCCCAGCCTTTGGCAGGATGTCCCTGTTTGTCCCTTCCTCCTGCTCTTGCCCCAGGCCCTGTCACCTGCTGCTGACCCAGGATCCGTTGTTATCTGATGCCAAAGGCAGCAGCAGAACAAAGGCAAGGAGGAATTGTGCTTGAGCCAAGGTAAAGTACAGAACATGCTCCCAGCTGCGGTATCCGGTGGCAATCCGGACCTTACCCTCTCACAAAGATCGCTCAGATTTCAGGGAATTAAAGCCATTAACTCTTTGAAGCAGGGATCATTACTCAACGCATGTTTCTATGACAGCCAGCACAATGGAGGGCTGACCTGCTGGGAGCTAAACAGTGCAAGTGTTCAACAATAATTAAGCTGCCTCTAAGTTAAACAGACACCCAGCACAAAGGGGCAGTGTGCTGCAGGGCCCTCCGAGTGCAAAACTACAGGAAGGTGCCTCCAGAATAAAATATTTGGATTAGGGAGACCAAAAGAGTGGTTAGGAAGGGAGTCAAGGCTCTGGCACAAGGCAACAGCCAAAAAGGGCCAGCAGGTAACACCTGTGGGCAGGTGAAGGGCTGCTGGAGGAGCGTCCCAGCCTGGGGATGTGGCAGCTACAGGCTTGTGAGCAGCTCTAAGGCACTGGAGAGGGGCTGAGAGCTGGGAGAGCTGCTGGAGGGCTCCAGAAGCAGCTGGGAGGTGGGAATCTCCCAGCAGCATGCAGGGGAGAAGCAGCAAATCCCACCTCATTCCTATGGAGCACAACAGCCTGCTCCCCAAGGACGGGAGCACCCTCAGCCCTCGCTGGGAAAGGAGGGCAGTGCAGTGCCAGGAGCTCTCCAGCAGAGCCTGCAGACAGAGCCAGCTCCATCCTGCTCCCTGTGCAACCTGCCAGAGCCTTCTGCCACTCAGCAGCCCAGCCCCAGGCCAGGGCTGCCCTGCCAGATCCGTGCTGGGAAGAACCAGGAGGTGTTTCCCAACCTGGTGCCCTGTGCCACGCTCTGGGAGCCATGGGAAAATGTTCTTTCCTGACCTATCCGCAGAAAGCCAGCTTTGCTGCAGCTTTTTTTTGGTATTATCAACAGAGCTGTGCCCATCCCCAGCTCCCAGGAAACGTTTGTACCCCAGGGAATGTGGCAGCAGCTCTCTGGCCACAGAGAGAGGCAGAGCTTTCCCAAGGCTGTGAGAAGATCAGAGAAAAGAATGAGAAACAATTCTTATCTCCACTTGCTGTACCTGTTGCTGTGAACATGTAAAATGTGTTATGGAGATTTGTTTACCAAAGGGTGGTTTCTTAATTAGCCAATGGTGCTTAGATTGGAGGACCAATTAGGTCCAGCTGTGTCTATAAAAGCAATGGGTTTCTTAATAATAGAATAATATGATAAGACTAATAAAGTAATTGATCAGCCTTCTGTGAATCATAGAGTCAATGCTAATTATTAATTATTAATCACATATCCCCTGAACAGAGACACAGTTCTCATAGGAAAATCCTGGGAAGCTGTGAGAAGCTGTGGGAAAGGTAGAGGAAAGAATTAAAACAATTATTATCTCTCTTTCTGTAACCACTGTTTGTAGGTTCTCCAGAGTGTGCTGTTCATAGCTCACCAATGGGGTGAGAGGTTTTCACTTTGAGACCAATCAGGCCTCAACTTAGCAAGTCAGGCTATCAAAGTTACACCTTTTCCTAATAAACTGTTGTCCTGGATTGCCAAGCAGATTGTATTCCATTTGCCATCTGTATGGCAGCTGTCTTCTGTTAATTAGGCAGTTTTCTTTATCTCTTCCACACCCACTCCTCTCTCAGGGGGGACATCTGCTGATAACAGGCTGTGGAATGTCCCTGCATGGCTGATAAGAACTACAGCATCCATGGGAGATGTGAGCCCAGGGGAGGAGCCAAGCATTCCTACCTGGATAGAATCTGAGATTCTGGAACACCAGCACGGCTTCTCCACTGGATTTCCCAGAGGAACAGCAGCTGCCTCTTCCACTGGATCTTCAGAGGAAGACTCCACCCTTCTACAGGATCCCTGCTCCAGCAGAACCACCCCTGGCACTGCAGGACGGCTGCAGCCACAATTCCAATGGGACTGCTGCCAGCACCCTGACCCCCAGGGTGTCAGGTGTGTTCTGACTCTCTCAGTGTTCATATATATAAATAATACAAATAATAGCAATTTGGAGGGAGGGGGTTTACATTTCCCATTTCAGGGCAGGCTCCTGCCTTCCTTAGCACACACCTGGCTTTCCAAACCAAGACAACTGCTCTGTTTCACCTCCTGATTCCCCACTCTGAAGACCGGAGCCCCTTACTCCCTCCCTGGCTCCTCACCTTCATCGTAGTGCCGCCTGGCCTCGGTGCCCGGCTTGGCCCTGGGCACGCCGTGGTACAGCCCCTCCCCGACGAAATCCGTGTAGAACAGCATGAAGGTCATGAGAGCCATCCAGCTGCAGAGCTCGGCCACGAACAGGCGGCGGATGGCGCTGGGGACGCGGCAGCAGAGGCCGTGCAGCCGCGGCAGCAGCAGGCACAGCTTCCTGCCCGCCTGCAGCGGCCGCCGGCCCTGCGGCGCGCGCGGCCCCCGCCGCCAGCAGCACAGCGCCGCCCTTGCGGACGCGTCCTTGGGCGCCGGCCCGTCCGCGACGTCCCCCTGCGCGGCCTCCTCCGTCACAAAGAGCGTGGCCAGCGCACAGCCGAGGAAGATGAGGGCCAGCAGGCTGAAGAGGCAGCTCTGCTGGCCTCCCAGGTAGGGCGCCAGGAAGGCCCAGTCGATGGCGGGCAGCAGGTAGCCGATGCAGCCCCCCAGGCTGACCATGAAGGCGTACACGGAGAAGGCCTGGCGGCAGTTGTCCGGCTCCTGGAAGAGGTCGGAGAGCAGGGCCTCCAGAGGGGTGAAGCACACCTGGCCACAGAAATCCAGCAGCCCGATGCCCACGATGAGGAAGGCGATCTCCAGAGGCCGGGGGTTGAGGGCACACAGGCTGGCCAGGCTGCTGGCGTGGGGGATGACAAAAAGGCTGAGCAGCACGCCCAGGCACAGCACCCAGATGAAAGGTCTCCTGCGGCCGTAGCTGCTGTGCCAGTGGTCGCTGGCCGAGCCGATCAGGGGCACAAAAACCAGCCCGAGGACAGGGCCTATCCCTGGGAAAGAGACAGGGGGTGTTACAGGGACACAGCTGGTCCCTGTGCGCTCCTAAAAGGGATGCTTGGTCAGTTTGGGAGGGTTCAGTGGGTCACAGCCCCTGCAGGGGTAACTCTCCCTGCCCTCACTCACCCCCACCCTCCAGACTGCAAGGTTTAAAACAAAAAAAAAAAAACACCTCAGAGAGGTGACAAAGCTGCCTACCCAAAACCATGGTCATGAACTTCTCCTCCACGCCCACCTCCAGCAGCAGCGGTGGCACGTAGGTGATGCCAGCAGCCAGGCACACCTCCAGCCCGAAGGTCAGCGAGTTGACCAGCAGCAGCTGGGTCCTGCGGCTCTGGAAGGACATGCTGTCCCCAGCCCCGAGCCCTCAGTGGCACAGGGCTGTGTCCTGCCAGCTGCACAGCTCCCAGGGACGCCCCCCAGGCAAGGACTGCGGCTTCCCGTCCCGGGCTGCTGGGGAGATGCTGCTTCCCATTTTATCAACGGCGAAGGAACCGTCTTTTCCTCTTCCTCTTCTTGTGGGATGCGGAGAGCCCAGCAGGGATCCCACTGCAGGCTTCCCCTGCTGCTCACAGGCTGGGGTCTGTGGGGAGTTAAACACAGCAGGGAACTGGGTAAAACCAGGGCCACACGGATGTGTCACTGCTGAAAGGGACAGTCCCCATCCCACCAGGCCGGGAAGGTGGAATGATGAAAGCTCCATCCCTGAAAAGTTTATCTCCAGGGGGTTGTGGGGTAAAACCAGGGGCCACACTAATGTGTCACCATTGAAAGGGACAGTCCCCATCCCACCAGGCCAGGAAGGTGGAATGATGAAAGTTCCATCCTGGCCAGGTTTGTCCCCAAAGGTTTGTGGGGTAAAACCAGGGGCACATGGATGTGTCGCTGCTGAAAGGGACAGTGCCCATCCCACCAGGAGAGGTGGAAGGATGAAAGCTCAATCCCTGCCAGGTTTGTCCCTGAGGCATCGTGGGGTAAAACCAGGGGCCACATGGATGTGTCACCACAGAAAGGGACAGGCTGGGGAGGGGCCAGGAGAGGGGCAGGTGAAAGGATGAAAGTTCCATCCCTGCCAGGTTTGTCCCCAAGGGTTTGTGACAGGTGAGACAGGGTTTGGGAAAACCCAATCCTGGTTTTTTTTGAGACAGGGTTGGGGAAAACCCAATCCTGCCCTCAAGGACTGATGACCTCTGTGTCCTGTCCTGCCACCTCACGGAGATGGCAGAGACACAGAGATTTGGGGTCTCCTCCCACAGGGGAATCACTCAAGAGCCCCCTCCAAGGATGAGGGGAGTGCCTGCAGCCACACGGGCTCATCCCCAGAGGTCCTGGTGACCAGGACACCCCCGTGCTGCTCCCAGGCTCCAGGGGAAGCGATTTCACCCAAATGCCACCTCCAGCCCTGGATGGGGCACGGAGAACAGTCGGTGCCTCCGTGGAGTTTCACAAACAAACCTGACCCACTTTAGCCTCATCTAACAGCAAATGGCAATTACCTTACTCATTAGACTGAGTCATTTATTTGCCCTGTAACTGCTCCCTTCTCTCCAGCCTCTCTGGAGGGGAGAGGCCAGGGGATGGGGCCAGGGGCTGAGCAGCCAGGGCACCAGGGAGCAGACGCCTCTCAGTCCCAAATGACAGAAACCCTCCAAGCTCCCCAGCACCCAGCCCAGCAAAATTTACTAAAAATTTACTACATTTACTAAAATTTACTAAAAACACCTGGGGGAGGTGGCCTGGTGAGGTCAGTGCCCCCTGAGCCCCCCCTGCCCTCTATCACCGCACAGGTGTGTGCAGGCAGGTACAGACCCCCGAGTTTTGTCACTTTTCTCTCTGTCACCATCAGCTGATAACCCACGAGGGGGAGGCTGGGGGAGGCTGCCAGGGTGGGGATGAGGCTCAGCTGTCACTCCATCACTTTCTCAGTGCTGGAAAGTGCCACTCCTGAGCTCAGGAGCTGCCAGTGCCACTCAATAAAGAGGGATTATTCCCCTTTGGGGACCCTGCACTTCCCCTCAACTGTCACACAAGATCCCTCCTTTCAACAACCGCCTCGCCCAAGGTCAAACAGCAAACAAAGGGGGAACGGTTTTGCTTTAATCACCAGAAGCAGCTTCAAAGGAAGCCCGGGCCGGGCTGAGCATCCCTTCAGCCCAGGAAGCGCCGGGGGCAGCGCCCACCTTGCTCAGATGTGGGTTCCACACAGGATGTGCCAGCCCAGCTCGGTCAGGGGGGCCCAGCTGGAGCACAGCCCCGGCATGGGGAATTTCAGCTCCAGCAGCTCCCAGAGTCACAAGGAAAATTAACCAAGACACTCAGACCTCAGAGGGGGATGTAATGTCCACTGCCTGCTGTGGTCTGTGTCTGGAGAACTCAGAGAGGGGGAGTTACCCCAAAAGAAACCCCAAACACCCAGTGAAAGATGCCTCACACAGATTAGAAGTTGGTTTCTTCCCTTTTGCTGCTGTGGCAGAGCACTGGGGAGGCAGCAGGGGTCTGTCCAATGCCTGAGAATTCCAGCTGGGAGGCAGAGCTGGATTTCTTATCTGCAGGTAGGAACAGACCTCTCCTCCCCCTCCACACCCTCCGAGGGCTTCAAGGAGAAAGTAAATCCCTGGAGCAATCAATAATCATGAACAGCCAGAGATGAGAAGTCTCAACTGCAATAAAGCTGTAGATAAAACTGCAGCAGATGATGAACTTTCCTGTTTGAGCTGAACTTCATCCCAATACCCATTCATCACTCTTTCATTTTTTCCCACAGAATAGAGACAGGGAATTGTGCTGGGCAGGGGAATCACCTGAACTGCTGATTTGGGCTGGGAAAGGGAGGTTTGGGAGGCTCAGGGAGCCAGGACTCACCTGCAGGTGCTCCCTGCAGCCCAGCCCAGGCGCTCAGCAGAGGCTGCTGCAGTGTTTGCAGGGCAGCAGAGGTGGAACCCAGCACAGGTTTGGTTTCAGGGCCCTCCCTTTCTGCTGATAACAGCAGCGTTATTGTCACCGTGCCACTCCTGTGCCCGGGCCCCTCGCTGAGCCCGAGCAAACACTGCTGGCACCCCCTCACAGGTGCTGCCCTGAGGAAACCCCAGCTCTGGGCTCACACCTGCATTTTGCCCGAAAATTCACATTTATCACCCTCCTTTGCTGATCTGCTGGTGCTCCAGCAGAGATTTAGCACGTGGGGTTGGTATTTTGTTTTTAAAGGCAACAAGATGTCCCTGCAGCTTTGCAGGCCCTGAGTGACAGCCCCAGCAGCAGCAGGACCAAACACCCTCTCCTCAAACCCCTAATCCAATCTTTCCCAGGGGGGTTTATGCCCTGGACTGTGCTGCTCTGGCATGGAAGGAGTCAGGAAAATCCATTCCCAACTTGGAGATCCTGGTGGAACAGCAGCATTTCACTCACCCAGGGGAGCTGGCAGCACCCTGCCCATCCCAGAGGGATTTGGGGAACCTTCCCCAGCCCCATGGGGGCAGCTGGTGCAGGTGACACTGGCACTTCTCACCCTCCAGCCTCATTTCCCCAAATTCCCACAACAGGAACAGGGTTGGAGCACCTTGACAAGGGCAACAGCAGACCCAAAAAAGGGATTTTTTTGAGGTTTCCAGCACTCAGGAGCAGAAGGGAGCCACATGTGGGGCTGTCCCACAGCTGCTCCCAGAGCTGGCGTGCCATGGGACATCAGCTGCTGCTCTTCCTCCTCCCTCCCCAGGGAGGGCCAAAACATCTCAAACCCTTTTTTCCTTTAAAAATCCAAACCATCTCAAACCCACGTCTCTCTTTTAAAAAAACCAAACCGTCTCCAACCCACGGCTTTCTTGTAAAAAACCCAAACCATCTCCAAAGCCACGGCTCTCTTTTAAAAAACCCAAACCATCTCCAAAGCCACGGCTTTCTGGTTTGCTTTTAGAAAACCCAAACCATCTCCAAAGCCACGGTTTGCTTTTAAACCTTTCTGGTTTGCTTTTAAAGCTTGCAAACCAAATTTTTCCTGCCCTTTCCCTGCAGAGAAACAGCAGATCAACTCCCAGAGGCTGCCTCACCTGGCAGCCAGGTAGGAGGGCGGGTCCAGGGCAGGAGCAAAGCTTTGCTGGACAAAGGCAGACAGGGTGAAGCCAGGGAAGCTTTTAGGAAAAACCACCTGGAAAAGGTGGATGTGCAGGGCATTGATGGACACACACAAAGAAGCCTCTTCTCCTCCCAGTCTCCTAAATCTTCCCAACACAGGGTCTTAGAGGGAATCACAACTCAGCAGTGCTCAGAGTGAAGAGGAGGACTGGTTATTTTAAAGACAAAATGTGGGTGTACTTACCTGGCAGAGAAAAACTCATTTATTCCTGGAAGAATCCATGTCCTGCTACTCCATAATCTCTGCTGCTGGTGCAGAGGGGCCAAGAGATGATGTTGATGTAGGCTTTGATTTGTAGTGGTTGTGCACCTCCTTCACAGCTCAACAAACAGCAGTGATCAGACAGCAGGGAAAATTTGGTTCAGGGTGAGGATGCTGAGGCACTGGAATAAGTTTCCCAGAGAAAATGTGGCTGCTCCATCCCTGGAAGTGTCCAAGCCCAGGCTGCAGCAGCCAGGGATAGTGGAAGGGGTCCCTGCATGTGACAAGGGAATGGAACAAAATGAGATTTAAGATCCCTCACAACCCCCAAACCATTTGATAATTTTATTATTAATTATTCCTGACCTGCCAGGACTGCCTTATTCCCTTAGGAAAGGAAATCCCTTGGCTGAGGTGGGGCTGCTCCAACCCAGCAGTGCCCAGGTGATTCAGGTCCTCACCCTCCCTGCCCATGAATGGCACCCAGAGAGAGGGACAGGCAAACAGTTCCCATTCACAACCCCAACGTGACATTTCCAACCTTCCGAGGGGCTCTTTATGAATTCCCTGAAGCCCTTTGGAAGAAAGGGTGGCACAGAGCTCAGGGGGAGAGAGCTCAGAGCAGCCAGGGCCTTTCACAGCTATCAGTGTCCATTCAGCGCCGCTGAATGGGAAATGCACCATGGAGAATAGCTCTGGCAGGCTCCTCGGGATGGAATGGAGCACTCACCTGACCTCTCCTGACCCCCTCCCGGCCCTCCTCCCCTCCCAAATCTCCTTGACCCCATTCACAGCTCGGGGAGGGGAGAAGGGTGACTGATTTGGGCTCTCTGAATTAACTTCCTTGGAGCCCCGGGGCTCCATTCTCAGGGAAAGAGCAGCAGCCTGGAAACCCCCTCAGGAGTTTGGGATTCCCTCCCTCATCCCCACGGCAGAGCCCAGCAGCCAGGACCTGAGTCCATGGGAGTCACAGAAGGGCAGTTCCCAGTGACAGCTCCAGCTTCCCCAGGGACACCCTTGGATTTGGGGGACAGCTCTCTCCTGCCTCACTGGAACCTCTGCACCCCCCTACGAGGGATCCTGCTGCATCCAGGGCTGAAATCCTGAGTCCTTCAGGGCACAGAGGGGCCCCTGGCACAGACACTCAGCCGAGGGCACCTCCATTTGGGAATGCACAGCCCAGAGGGAATGCTGGCAGCGTGGAGGAAGCTCTGTCCTGCCTGTCCTTCACCCTCAGACCTCACACTGCAGGGATGCTCTGACCCCATCCCAGAGCCCTGTCCCACAGCCTGCACCCTCCTGTGGCACAGGAACTGCCCCTGCCAGGAGCCTTCCTCCCAGCAAAGAGCGGCCAGCTCCAGCCAGGCCTCCTCCTCCTCCTCCTCCTCCCGTTCCAAACTGGAGCCCCCTGTGACTAACGGGGTCACAGACTCGGCAGAGGCCACGGTGACACTGCTGCAGCTCTCTGGGGGACAGACATGAGCCCAGGGCCACGGCAGGGCCAGCAGCTCCCTGCTCCTGGCTGGGCTTTGCCCTCGGGCTGCCCAGGCCATCCATGCCAGGAGCACGGCTGGAGCTGGGCATGGCTGGAGCTGGGCACGGCTGGAGCCGAGCACAACGGGAGCTGGGCACCCCCAGTCCTGCAGCCAGCAGGGGCCAGGGCTGCTGGGATGAGCCTCACCTCACCAGGAGCACCCCAAAGGTGAGCTCAGGTCAGTGTGATGGGGTGAAAAGCCCCAGTAAAGCCCAGCTCAGCTGCAGAGGGATCTCCAGCCTGGGCTGGGATTTGTGCTGGTGCACGGCAGGTCTGGCAGCGTTTTACCCACTCAGGACTGGCATCTCCTCACCAAAGTTCATCAAGCAAAACCTCCCAGCCTCCTCAACACACTCAACACAGCCAAAAGCAGCAGCACTTCAGCCCCAGAGCCTCAGCCCTCCTGGTCACGCTCCCCTGAGCCGGCGTCAGGTCTGCTGAGGCAGCTCCAGCCCTCCAGACAAGCTTGGCTGGCTCCACAGCAGAGCCACAGCTTTGTTTTGCTGCTGCACGACCCAGGCTCTTGCTTTTATTCATGAGAGGAGCCCCCGTTCCGGAGAAGGAGGGGAAATGAGATGATCTGCTTCTGCTTTTCACTCATTTCTGCTCTTTAAAGACTGTGCCCATCACCCCTGGCACTTGATCCAAATCAACCTCTCCCCCGGGCCTTTCTTCTCTGCTTATTATTATTATTTTTTCCTTTTTTAAGCAGAAGAATCAAAATGTAAATTAAACTGGAAAGGGGGAAAAAATAAGCCCCCTCCAGGTGCCCCCTTCTCCTCGGCGTGGGGACGGGCACAGATTATATCCAGCACCACATGACCAGGGCCTGTATTTATGTGTCAGAGTGTAAAACCCACCCTGCTGAGCTGCCTTTTCTCTGCCTGGGGCTGGGGGCTTCTGCTCCGCGTCTCCTCCAACAGCCCCACAAAGGGGATTAAGGAGAGCCCCTCAGCCCTGCAGAGTAATCCATCAAATTATCCCTTGTTGGCATTGCTGTCCTCTTCAGGGGAAAAAGAAAAAAAAAAAAAAAGAAAAAAAAAGAGAAAAAAGCCCTCCAAAAGCTTTTAAAGGCACTGAAATTACACTTGAGCCTGAAACACTCCACCCAGCTGCTGGAGCCCCCAGCACAATGGGCTGCTTGTGAAGGGGAGCCGGGAAGTGAGGAGCAAGGAAAAAGAGATGGACACTTAAAAAGGGCAGCGGCCTCCCCAGGGCTGCAACGCCAACAGGTGCTGCAGACCCCCCCTCCCCAGAGCCTGCAGCAGATCCAGCCCTCTGAGAGGGAATTTGGGGTGCTGGGATGGGTTTGCTGTGCCCTGATGGCCCCGTGGATGCAGCCTCGGCAGAGGTGAGGCTTGCAAAGGTTTGCACTTGTGGGAGAACCCAAATTGCTCCTGCAGGGATTCCAGACCTGTCACTCCCTGTCCCCAGAGCCCTGGGACTAGACAGCCCCTCAAACCCCAGTAGGACTGCCCAGGACTCAGGGCACCTCCACCAGTGACCCCAAAGCCAAACCCCACTCACCAAAACCCCAGGAACACCCAAAATCTGCTTTTCCTTCCTCTGCAGCCCCCTAAAGTGCACAGGAGCTGCTGTGCTGCTCCTCAGCACCCTGCTTGAGGGCTGAGTCCTCCCTCTCCACGTGGGATTCCCTGGCTCTTCACGGCTGCAATCTTCTGGGGAAAATTCTCAGCGAAACAGGGATCACAGAGTGCTTACCCCAACACACTGGAGCTGGGAAAAGAGAAGAGCAAAGCAGTGCTGGTGGCACCCAGAGCACCCACAGGGGCCAGCTCAGCACCGAGCACCCTGACACAAAACTCCTGAGTTAAGAAACCACCAGTGCTGAGTGAGAGAGAAGCATTTCCCCATCTGTCACAGGGAGGGGACAGCAGCCAGAAGCCCTCACTGCTCTGCTCCTGTGAGCCCTCCTCTCTGCTCACATGGCTGGGAAAATGGGAAGTGAAACTGGAACTTCTCCTTTGCAGCTGGAGCAGAAGTGCTGTGAGGGGACATCCGACCCCTGGGCAGGCCAGCTCTGGCTCCTCTGGGGCTTCCAGGAGCTCTGCCCCATCATTCATTCCTGGCTTCATCTGGAAAATGACAGTCACGGGGCCACAGGAGACTCAGGAGTGGCTCTGGGGTGGAAAGGACAGTTCTGGTGTCAGAGCAAATCCCAGGGGCCAGAGCAAAGGCAAGGACGGACACGAGGCTGCAAATCCAGGCCCTGGGCCGTGGAGCCACTCATGGTGGAGTTTTAGGGGGATGAGGGGTGTCCCTGACCCCAGACTGTGCCCACACAGGGGTCAGACACATTTCACCCCAGCAGGAGCCACCAGCACCCAAAACTAACTCCAAAACTGAACTCCAGCCATCCCTGCTTTTGCCAGGAGCCTGTTCCTCAGGGGAAAAAGGGAACAACCCAAACTCCACACATCCTCCAGGCACGCAATTCCAGAACCCCTCTGGCCGAAAATTTTGGGAGCCTGACCTCGTGCTCTTCCTCAAAGGAGGCACTTGGAGCCCTGGAGCCCTTCAGCAATCACAGGGTGCTTAGGCCATCCCTCCGTGGCCATTTTCTGCCCCACAATCCCGATTATTCGTGTCCCTGCCCGAGAAGCTGGATGCTAACAGATCCCTCTGACCTCTCCTGGCAGGTTGGGGGGTTTCTCCCTCTCTGTTTTCTGTCTGTAAAATGAGGTCATGGCTTTGAAGGAGACAAAAGAGCCTTTGCAGGGTGAGGAATAGCCCCGGGACAGCTGGGAGAGCTGAGCCCCATCGCTCACAGCCCAGGGACAGCCAGGCTGTGCCCAGAGCTCTGAACACCCCCCAGTGTCCCTGGCATGGGAATGGGCAGGGGGAACGTGCAAAAAGGAGGGAATGAAGCAAAACTCTCTAAATATTTTAAACTGGGAGCTGCTCTGAGCTCTCCTTGTCCCCACACTGAGTTTCACCCTCCCAGTCTGGCCATGGAGGGCAGTTTATGCCGATGTTCCAAGGGATTTTCTGTCACACCAGCACCCTCTGCCAGAGGGGAAGGTGTGCAGGGAATAACGGGAATTTTCTGGGGTGTTTTAAGAGCAAAATCCACAGCTCAGAGCTGTAAAAAAAGCAGTTTCACATGCCTGGGGTAGCAAAAACTGCCCAGGCTCTGCCTCCTGCCTGCAGCACATCAACCCTCGGGGTTAATGAGGGCCTCACATCACTGCTGGAGCACAGGGAGGCTTCTCTTATCGTGACAGACCAGCCACCAAGCTGGGCCTGAAAACGGCAGATTCCACAATTTTATTTTTGCCTGATAATTGCAAAGATAAGGAGCAATGAGATTTTTTATTTTCTAGGGCAGATAAGTTTCACTGGAAGGTCTTGATGGAGAACTTAAGAAGCTTTTTCCTTTTCCCCCTTTTCTCACTATTAGTTTAATGTGCCATGGACTCACAACATGCAGGGGTTTAACATTCACCAAAACAAACAGAGCAGTGAGGAATATCTGGAAGGGAAATTTTCCACTTTTTAAAAAAAACAAAACAAAAAAAAACAAGGCTCAAAGCTGCCATTTCTACAGGAGGTGGATGGAGTGAGGCATTTTTACCACCCCCTCACTCCCCACCCAAACAGGAACCTCCCTTCTATTTTAACTCCTGGAAAGAACATCAGCCCTAAATAAATTATTAGCTTTTTGCTAATTAGGCATGGGGTTCAAGTTCAAAGCTGCCTGGGTTTTGCAGAGCCCTCTG